TGTGGGGGTTTGGCGTAGTATGGCAGCTGGCTGTGCAGCCAACACAACACAGGGGGGAATGCTCTAACCCACCCAAACTCATTTCAAAACAAACCACAGTATTTACCCACTCTTATTGCCTTCAATAATATTACTACAGGTCACATATGTTATGCTGAGGAGAGCAAGATCTACAGAGGCCCCAAAATATCTACAGAGCAGTATTTTTCTTTTCATTCAATCTCTGAGAATTTCGAAGCTGTGATTTTTGACACAATTCCCCATATGTTAGTGTTAACTGCAGCCAATGGAAAATTACTGTAACCTCATGTCATAGACCTGCACTGGTCCAATGGCTGGTGTGTTCTCTTCTTTGCTGGTACAGCAGCCAAAAGGACTGAGCGATGAGGACTTTTCCAAATATAAAACATCTGTTTATTCTGGGAAAGTTCACCTTGGTCAATAGGAGAGATCTTTCTGACAGTGATAAATCACTGAACCCACAGGCATAAAAAATCCCAGTACTCTGTTGCTCAGTTCCTCTTCCAAGTCATTGACCTTCACGGGTCCCAAGGCTCTGTATAATGTAACGGCTGTTAAAATATGTATTAGGAAAGGGGAACAGTAATAGGAAGTTTGGCAACTATTCCATGGGGCAGGGGCATCAAAAGTCCTGACTGTTGATTAATAGAATATGATCATATCAAAATCTAATTGTGTGGCAATAGTGGTCTGCAAATTGGTGCCAATTGGTGAACTATGGCTACTGGTCTGTGGCATGTTTGCAACAAAGAAATTGTTGTACACTGGGCACAAATAAGGTGCCACTCTCTGGCACACTGGGAGGAAAGAAATCTGCCAGTCCTTCATGTCAAATTGCTTAAGAAACATTCCTCTAAAATCAAATAAAAACAAGTGCATATCCTTATACAGTAGAGTCTTGCTTATCCAACCTTTGCTTATCCGACACTCTGTATTATCCCATGCACCTTGGCTGCTTCTGGCTTGCAAGAATAAAAACAAGGCTCTTTGTCTTCCTCAGAGAATTGCAACAAGGCTCTCCTCCCTCCCTCCCTCCCACTCTTCCTACTCTGGCTCCTGCTCCAGACTCTGCTTCCCTCTTTGCTATCTCTCTCCTTCCTGAGGCCTCACATTCAGCCCAGGAGAGGCTTTGAGGAAGCGGCCTCCACGCGGGTAAAGGGGGAGCCCCGCCGAGGCTGACCACTGCCCTGGCTCCTCCACTGGCCTTTCTGTCTGGTACTCTTGACCTCAGTGCCCATCCTCACCTTGCTCCCCTACCTGCAACCCAGCCCCACCCTGCCCCCCTTCTCTCTTGCCAGCAGAACAAAGGTTTTCTTTATGGAAGAGAGAGGGAAAGAAAGAAAGAAAGAAAGAAAGAAAGAAAGAAAGAACTGAAGACGGAGACAAACTCTGCCTTTGCTTGGGTTTAATAGGCTTTTCCTTAATCCCCCGTATTATCCGAGATTTTTGCTTATCCAATGTTCTGGCAGCCCATTTATGTCGGATAACCAAGACTCTACTGTAATTGTTTCCTTTGGAAGAACCTTGATTACCTTAGGTGTCACATGCTAGAGTTGTATGTCAGGATGACTATAAGGTGAACCAAAGCTTTGCATTCATTAATGCTGTAATGCTACTGTTGTTGGGGTGAGGATGGAGGAAATTCGCATCAGTTGGGAAACACTCCAAATAAATCTTGTGCATGTGTAGATAATATGCATATAGAATAGATGGTCTATATTCTTTACTGTGGAGCTGAATAATAATGAATTGTACTAGACTAAACTTTATTTATGTCTCAAATTTCCTCTCATTGGTCCATGAAAATAGATTATTTTTAAGGAACAGAAGAAGGTTAAAAGAAAAGTTCAAGCTGTTTCAGAGCCACTCAAGGACTTTTTGAAAACTTAGCGATTCAAAAGTAACAACAGTAAACAGTAGTTAGTGAGACAACAATAATAAACAGTGGTGAAAGTAAACACAATTACTGTTTTTTTTTAAGCGATGTAGTAGGCACATCTAACTGATGTGTAATCTTCATCATGTCAGACTACATCCATAGTTTGCTAATATTTGGAATAAATTTAGGAAATATGAGGCATTATCTCTAAGACAAATCGTCAATATTGCCCTTAGAATGTGATCCTGCTGCAAAATCTCTTTGAAATCTTAATCTTGTCACTGCATGCTTATATCACTATTGTTTCTGTATTATGTTTAATTACTACTTGTAAAAAATTTATATACTTCCTATTGATATTAATTGCATGTGGTCAATATTTTTGTATTCCTCTGGCCATTTTCAGATATCATCTATCTTATGTAGATGAACTACAGTCTTATGTCAACTTAGCAAGGAACAAACATCACTACAGTGTGAATAAACACGAGATTTGCTTCTGAGTAGGAATGCACTATATAGTTTTTCAGATAGCCAACAAGTACTGCAGGATATCTTGACCCAGAATTACTCTCGTTTCCACCCACCCCACCCCCCACTGATGCCTTATCTTAGGCATATGATTATGATCACTCTCAGTGCACATCTGCCTAAAAATGAATGTGGAGACAGCACAGTGCATGTACAGTTCCAGTTCATTTCCTTGTAGATTGTAACCCACTAAGGCCCATCTTTCCATCACTCTTAACAGTGTCCCAAGTCTGCCACTGAAGTCACTTATGCTGCCTATGGATCTGATTCTGAAAAGATATGGGTTTTCATCTTGCAAATATGAAAAATAACAAAAATTATCAAAATATGATTAGGTCCAGAATTATTCATAAATTGCCAGTCAATCCAGAATTATCCCAGGGGTATAATAACATCCCTTCTTTCTTTCAGGTCTTTAGCAATTCACCCAAGGATCCGCACTGATTCTCCCATAACAACTTGGAAAGAAACATAGTTGCAATGAAAACTCTACAAGTTGTCTGCAGAATCCAGCACACTTTTCACTGCTGTGTAAGGAGTGTTTTATGTTCTTAATGAGTAACAAAATATCTTGCAGCATAACACCCACACTGGCTTAACACTAAGGAACACTGAGTCCAGTGGGAGTTACTCCCATGGCAGGGTGCATCAAACACATAATTGAAATTGTCTGGAAAGGGTTCACTACTACAATTCATGACTTTTGGGTATTGCAGGATTGGATCAATCTAACAAAACCACCAGGACAAAGGAAGCTGCCATAGGGATAATTTAGGCAAAACAAAGATGCCAGCTCTGTTTTTTGGGGCTGCGATCTTGTCTTTTGCACACTGCATCTCTCTCTCTCTAATGCACAGAGATGTGAAAACAGACCATGTCTTGGCAATAACGTTTCAATCATGCTCTTAAAGAAAAATAGAACAATTTAACAGTGATAACTAGCCTTGACTTTTCTATGGGTATACCAACACAATCATTTATATCTACAATATTTTTTTCATAAGTCTCCTAAGGGTAGTAAGAAAACACAACTGTCTAAATGTCATATTCAAAATGACAGCAAGCAAAAATATAAAAAGTGAATTGTTTTCTCAGTCTTGAACAATGTGCCTACTAGCAAGAAGGGACAATGCAATAAGGAAGCCATTTGCTTCTTAGTGAGAATTAATTAGCTGTCTGGAGTTATTAAATGCCCTCACTGGCTCGGCTGGCAATGAAACCAGGAGCTATAAAGGTAAGCCAGAATAATCACAGCACTACAAATAAAACTGATCAACATTAATACTGCACATTCCTATGTTAGACTAGTATGTTAAGCAAATAACTGATACTAAACCAGCCATTCCATACAGTACAAGGCAGCAAGATGAAGAAATACAGCCTAGGAAATGTAACTACGTTATTTATAAAATGCATATTCTAGCAAAAATGCTCATTTGCCTGCATCAGTTGAAAGATTTATAGAAGTTCCTCTGTGCATGAAATATGTGTCATAAACTAAGAGACCCAAACAGATACTAGTTGTGACATAGGCCCTAATCAGCTATGCGCCTAGATCACAGCAAACACATTTCTCTGCAAGGACTTTAAACCAGATTCTGTGTAGAAAGAGGAAAAGGAATAGCTCTGTTCAATGAGACTGAAATAAAAGTTATACAATGCATAATAGTGCTGTTCACTTAAATTCTAATGCACTTCAAACACACTCTGATAAATGCACACGTGCTACATTAATGACTCTGGATTCAGCTTAAATTGCAGATAAAACAGCCTGAAGGGTCTCTTACAAATATATTGCCACATTAGGTTAGGAGTTTACAACTCAACGAGGCAACCTAATGTTCCTTCAGCGTTCTTGTACTGTACCAACTAGAAGACAAATTTCATCACACACCATTTTGTGTATGGAATTATAGAAGAATATAGTTATTCTCTTGTCAGATTTGGAAAATTGTGTTTTTTTCTTGTCTGAGCATTTTATTATGTATATATAACAAACACATAGAAAAATATGAATATGTAATCTTCAGTGCAAGCATTTTTTACAGTACCTCACGCCGGCAGTACTGCAATCTGCACACAAGAACATTTTGGGCATGAATCCTCCCTCTACTTGGAGTCAGTTAGAAATGCAGAGCAGTGAACTTCCATTCCCTCCAATAAACTGACTTCCAAGTCCAAAGAGAAATAAATGATGGCCACTAAAATATGACTAAAGCAAACTGAGAATCCAAACCAGATGCAAAATAGGCACATTTGTTTTACAATTGTTTTGCTTAAAGTTTTTATTATTCATTTTTCCCCTTTGTGTGTGTATGTGTATGTTACCTAAAGTTTAGATTCCTTGCCTGTATATTTAGGTTTGATCTAATGCTTTTGATTGTTTTATTTGTATGAACAATTAACACATTGCTACAGATATGTAAAGAAACGGGATTTCAGGCAGTGATTTTGGGTGTGTGCAGAGCGAAGGTCTGATTATATTTGCTAGAAGAAGCATATGCTAAAATTATGTCCTCCTCTTTCCACAAAAAGCAAGAAGGTATTACAAAAATAATGGTTGTCTTACCCGTAGCGTGGTAATTGTGGAGGGATCTCGCAGCCTCCCATCTTCGTCTTTGAGATTGTAGCCTTCTGGTCTTTTGTCTCGTTCACTGACCTTCCAGAGTTTCACAGTTTTGTCTAGTCAAGAACAGGAATAGGCAATTGAGAAATTCTGTAAGTCATATTGAATGTCAATGAATTATTAAGAATTTCATACTGAATGAACTTCACCTGTTATTTATCGATCTCAATATATGTACCGGGCTTTTTCTGTCATGTAAGTATATCATTGTTACTATTTTATAGCTGAAAAACCACTGATGATGATGTGGCTGAAAGCATTAAAAAAATCCATGGCTACAGAAAAGTGAAGGAGGCTTCTAGCCAAACCTCTATTCACTGTCCCATATTCTCTAACCCAGGGGTCCTCAAACTTTTTAAACGGGGGGCTGGATTACTGTCCCCCAGATCGTTGGAGGGCCGGACTATAGTTTTTTTTAAAAAAAAACAATGACCAAATTCCTATGCACACTGCACATGTCCTATTTTGCTACTGTTATGAATTGTAATGTAAGTATCTGATATGCATGATGTATTTTTATTGTTACAATCTGAACATAAAGCATCGTTTTAGCATTTCTGGAGATAAAATAGTTCCAATTAAAATGAGGAAAGCATTCTATTTTCTGTCTTTTTGAAAGTGGTTTTTGGAATATGTAAGCATGAGTCCCCTTTCAGGGGGAGAAGGGCAGGGTATAAATATAGGAAATAAATCTATATAAATAAAAATGTAATGTTCGTTTGTGGGATTAACAGAACTCAAAAACCACTGGACACCTAACAACCCAATGTATGTCCTTCACAAAAAAAAATTATTTTGTCATTTGGGAGCTGTACTTGCTGGAATTTATAGTTTACCTATAATCAAAGAACATTCTGAACCCCACCAACAATGGAATTGAACCAAACTTGGCACACAGTTCTCCCATGACCAACAGAAAATACTGGAAGGGTTTGGTGGGCAGTGTCCTTTGGTTTTAGAGTTGTAGTTCACCTACATCCAGAGATCACTGTGGACTCAAACAAGGATGGATCTGGACCAAACTTGGCACTGATACTCAATATGCAATGCTGGCTTCCCTGGCCCGGAAGCCTGGCCACGCCCACCCGGCGCCGCCTCCACCATTCTCGCCATCAGGGATCTTCTGTGGTAGAGCAATGGCGTCCACTCTGCTTCGCTCTCTGTTCTCCGCGGGAGAGCAGAGAGCGCTTCTCCCTCCACAGGCTTCTCCATCCCGTGTGGAAGGAGAAGCCTGTGGAGGGAGAAAAGCAGCAGAGCAGACGCCATTGGCGGCGGCGAGGGGCTTTGGACGGGCCGCGCGGTGAGGGGCTTTGGACAGGCCAGGACAGGCTGCGCGGGCCGGATAAAGGCCCTTGGCAGGCCGCATGTGGCCCGCGGGCCGTAGTTTGGGGACCCCTGCTCTAACCCATCTCTCACATAGTTGGATGGCAGTAGGGAGCATAAGCAGGTTGGGTTCTTGTTTAGACCAGTATAATCAGATCTGCCCCAGAACTATTTGTGTTTCAGGAAGAGGATGACAGCAAGCTTTGGAAAGCTACTCCTTTGGGAAGACTCTGTAGATTCCATATCCAAGTATACACAACTCTTTCAGCAGTGCTTCCATGGGTATAACAAAAATTATTATAAAAAGGAATACAGTGTCTAGATCAAAGGAAGTAATGGTGCCCCTTTATTCTGCTTTGGTCAGACCTCAACTGGAACACTCTGTCCAATTCAGGACACCACAATTTATGAGAGATATTAACAAGTTGGAATGTGTCCAGAGAAAATGGATTAAAATGATCATAGGTCTGGACTCCAGGTCTTATGAGAAGCAGCTTAAAGAGCTGGGGATGTTTATCCCCCAAAAGAGAAGGTTGAGAGGAGACATGATCACCATGTTTAAAATTCTGAAAGGATGTCATTAGGTAGAGGGAGCAGGCCTGTATTCTGCTGCCCTGGAGACTAGGACTCAGCAACAGGTTCAAATCACAAGAAAGGAGATTCCACCTGAACATTAGGAAGAACTTCCTGATCATAAGAGCTGTTCAGCAGTGGAACTCACTGCCTCAGTGTGTGGCAGAGCCACCTTCTTTGGAGGCTTTGGGGGTTTTCTAGTCACACGAATTCCAGACAAGAAACAACCAAGACAAGAAACAAACAGGGCCAGCTAACTCCAAACAAAGGATTCCCCCAGGCAGTAAGAGGCCAAACCTTGAAACTGCTAGGCCTTTAAATGCTAATTAAGGTGGCCAATTGAAACATTCACAGCCATCTCAAACAGACAAGAGTTCTTTCTCCCACCCTGGACATTCCACAGATATATAAACCCAATTTTCCTAGTTTCCAACAGACTTCACAACCTCTGAGGATGCCTGCCATAGATGCAGGCCAAACATCAGGAGAGAATGCTTCTGGAACATGACCATACAGCCCAGAAAACTCACAACAACCCAATGATTATTTGAATTTTAAATATGCACATGCATTTCTCCAAAGGGAGTTTTTAGCATTGTGGCATTTGCTTTTATTTCAATATAGTTACAAATCTGAAAGTATAATATTATAAAGAATTTATCTCTCATTTCTTATAAAACCAACTAGTAGTTTTTGCTGATGTTTGGAAAAATAAAGAACATTCATGATTGCTCAGTCTTCAAATATTTCAACAATTCTTTTAAATCATACACAACGAAGTTAACTGTCTACTCTGGAAGGCTGCTGGTTGTAATCTAGGTACCAAAACTGAGCACTCTGCACATTGCATGTGTCAACCTTGTTTATATTTACTTGGGTCTGGGAAAAGGGAACATCTTCGACAACAAAACTAGCATGAGCACCATTCCATTAAAAAAATCTCGAGTTACATGAGAGTTAACGACTTTAGCGGAGCTTTGATTGCAACAGATGACATTGCAAATGCAGAGGGTGACAAAGTACAGCGCTTAAAGAAAGAAGGCCAATCATGTCTGCAATTTACTCAAAAGTCAGGTTTCCCTGCTTTCTTCTTGCAACAAAAAAAATAAAACCTGACGTTTTATCATTGATGGTGAATCTACGGTAATTCCACAATTGCCAGCTTGCCTGGCAGGTGGATATCTCCATTGGCTTCATCATTTCGCTGTCATCCCATTTATCCTGTGCCATGATGTCCTTCAGGGAAAAAGCCTCAAGAACATGTGGCTTTTATTCTGAATAATGGTGTTTTCTTTTCTCCTTCCTGGCAGGTGTTCTATCAGCAGTTTGTCACAGCGCCCACCAGCCTTTTAAGGCAATCTTATTCATCTTCATTCCCATCCACACACCCCCGCCCCAATGGCCCTTGCTTTCTGGGGATTCCAGTTGACTTCCATTAATACTGTTGTATCAACTCATTTTGATGTTAAGACCTTGCCACAGCTTATGCTGTTTTGGGAATACTGCAGAAAAATATGGATATCAGTGTGCAGAGAGAGAATGTGAAACATTTTGAGATCTTTCTAGCTTATGAACACACTTTCCAGAATAGAAAGATAATACCCCTGTTAATCTAAAAACTGTTTAAAAACTCAATTAACGGAACATTAGGCTACATAATTAATCTTCATTGTGTTCGGGGAATCTTCCCCTCACATGAGTTTAATAACTCTTGGAATTTTATTAGAATGATCAATAGGGTAAATTCTGTAACACAAAGTAAGTTGACTATGAAAGATAATTAGACCTTCCTCTTTCCCCTGTAGTAATTAAGTCACATCCATCTTAAGGCTTCATTCATCCTGCTAACATAACTGGATCCTCATGATATTTAGCTGAATGTAACATGAAGCATAAGCTTACAGAAAAGAAAAGTAAATTAGGAATATTGCTACCCTCCCTTTTTACAACAAGGGAGTGCAATCCTGCCATGGCCTCCTCCAGAGCAATCATGAGGTGTAAGAAATGTTTCCAAGGTTATTGCTTGATTGGGGTCACTGCATTTTTTGTCTTTAGCCTGATTGCACTTTAAGATTTAAATCAGGTCAAAATTGAAGTGTGAGGGTGTGAATGACTTCCTTATCTTTCAGTTCACAAAGACATATTCACTCTAATCCTAACAGAAGAGGTTAGTCATGTACAAGACAGCTAATGAAAGGCTACAGAAAAGCTCTACTGATAGATTCTTGCATGCTTAGAATCAAACTGATCGATATGTTTGTGACCAATTCTTTTCATCGTTTTCTCCTGAGGTTTTTAAAGTATGAGTTTTATCTTACAGGAATGCTTCTCGTTAGTCTAGTGTATTTAATATGGCCTTTTCTATTAAATGCCCTCTCTAAGATGTATAGATCCACAGCACAATTCCCTGCAATTCCTAATGATCACAGTGACATCAGGTACACAAGCCACAGTGCAAAGAGTAAATGAAATAACTGAATGGCATACTTTGCCTTCCTGTTCCTCCTCATTAGAAGAGATGTAAATCAAAATATTTTAAAAGCTGATTTGTCACTAACCCACCCATATGGGGTGAAAGAACAACTGAAATATGTTATGTTTTTATATCACTATGATTGCCTCTAGGTGACACGACATCCAGATTTTATCTTTTGCAGTTCACTGCATTGGACTAAAAACTAGAGGCACAATAACTCAGCTCTATATAATGAATATGAAAGGTTAGTCTTACTGTAACATGACAATATTTCTGCCACTTTAATCAAGTATGTGTGTTCTTACATTGGAGAGAGGAAGGAACATAGGAACTGCCAAGCGAAAGAAAAAAAAGACAAAGAAATGAAAAAATCTTGCTGTATTTTGCCTCTGGATATGCAATTTCAAATTCTTTGAGGCCCCCTTCTTGCAACTCTGTAAGATTTCCTGCATATACAAATTGCCTAGGAGCCTTCCAGGAAAACCTCCACAGCTTCATTTGAAACAGCTTTAAATAATGTATTTTCCCTTCTCATCTTGATGTAACGATTCACCTGAGGTTACATAATGAGTATTTTTCTGACATGACACAAACATTGTTTTTCAAACCCAAGTATAAATAGTATATATACACTTGGGCTTGAATGGTTATATTATTCTGAATAATATAACACATAAACTATTATATATAGAATTACTGACAAACTAGATCCTGTTTATAATGATCAAATATGCTTCACCAGCACACTAGTCATCACTAACATCTGTTTTCATGTTATATACCTGAATTAAAAATAAACCAGTCCCAGAGAGCATAGGACTGGGGATATATGGTATTAGAATAGGGGGCTTTTATTTGATCCAATCCCCAACCCGGAGGAAAATGGATCATTTATAAAAAGTAAAAATGCCTCACACTCTATCTCAGCAATGTATTTACTTCAGCTATCTAAAGTCTTCTTAAAATTGTTGTGATCTGTCACAGACCTCTGTGTGAGTACATGACTGAGATCTTATGAGTTGATGCAGAAACACCAGCTCAAGCAGCATCAGTAGAAGTAAAAAGAAAGAGGGGAGCCAAGGAGAGCTGTCTCAAAGTGCATCTTCACTGCAGCATTAATGTAGTTTAACACCACTAATTATATGGTGTAGAGCCAGACTTAGTCTCCATTCAGAGAGGAAGCTGTCCATTTCCATTCAGCCTATTTCCATAGTGCCTAGTTTACCTGTAGATTGTTGAACCTAAAAGCACAGTGGCAAAGCAGCATTGGCAAATGCTGGCTTCCCAAAGTATAATTTCAAGGACCCACTCAGAAACCAGGCACCATGGAGTCAGGCTGCTTGGGAGCCAAGTCCTTCCTGTCTGGATGGAGGTGATTTTCCCTGCTTTCACCTCCATATGAAACTTTAATGGCTCCCTGGAAAAAGTGCACCTGAGCCAGTGTAATGGTGCACCATCAGGATTGCAGGCTGAATCAGGTAGGCTTCTTTGGACTGACAATAAACATACAGTTATTAGTGTTGGGAAATCAACACATGTGGTCTTGCTATCCCCTTCTTCCATTTAGTACTCATGAGTCCCAAATGCCCAAGTAAGGCTTTCACTAATCCAGTTGTGTGAGAGGCTTCAAGGGGCACAACCCAACTTAAAAATCCAAGTCTGAACTCTCTGCTTGCCTTGTTTAACATTAAAATCATGGGAGAGGTATATCAGCCAACATACTGACAAATTCTCTAGTGCTACACTAGATCAAGAGGGGCGAAAAAACAGGGGCACATTTAGCACATGGGCCACACACCTCTGTGGCAGAGAGGGCTGTATATAGACACAGTACATGACGACTTGAAAGCTGGGAGGATGTTTCAAGCACAAGGGTATTTCTGTAGCAAAAGCATGTATTTCCCAGCAAACATGGGATGATGTCAAACCTGCTTGAAGCACTCAAGTGCCACAGAGGACAGAATTATACACAATACAAGGTTTCTGTAGAAAGTGTCCCCTCATCCTTGTTTTCTATGCCACAAAGAGATTGAAAAACGTTACTATTACAACTCCCAAAGTTCGGTTGCCACAGTAATTCATGATGACTGGAGGCTTCTGGGAGCTGGGGAACAAACAAGAAAAGTATTGTCGAAGGCTTTCATGGCCAGAATCGCTGGGTTGTAGGTTTTTCCGGGCTATATGGCCATGTTCTGAAGGCAATTTTTTTCCTGACGTTTCGCCTGCATCTACGGCAAGCATCCTCAGAGGTAGTGACCTCACTACCTCTGAGGATGCTTGCCATAGATGCAGGCGAAACGTCAGGAGAAAAATTGCCTCCAGAACATGGCCATATAGCCCAGAAAAACCTACAACAACCCAAACAAGAAAAGGCTATTTTCCAAGTCCTGGCCTGGTATCATCAGGTTGGGCTTTTCTTCCCTACACAAAAGTGGCCAGGCATATGGAGAAAAAAAAGGGAGGGGGATGAAACATAGAGTGAGATACGTGACAAACATTTAGGTTAGATTGCAAAAGGAAGCATGTAAAGGAACACAGGATAGTTCATTTACACAAAGTATTGTTAATGTCTATCATTATAAAAAAATTCAGCCACTTCTATGATTTTTCTTTTTCTCACAACACCTGTGTGCCTTTGCTGCTCCATCTGTGTGGAAGATAAGAGATAGGCCTACCTTTCCTTCGCAGAGATTACAAATACGATTATTACAAGCCAGCAAAGCACTGCAGGATCTTTGTCTAGCAACCAAACAATTACCTCTTATTATCCCAACATACCATTGGTGGAGAGAAGAAAGTAGGCTGCGTTCTGCTGGGGGAGCCATCGTATTTTATTGATCTTCTCCTCTATCTCTAAGCTCTTCAGGTAATCGAACTCAGGTTCATGGCTCTGGAATGTGCTGTAAACATTATATTCTCCCCTGCGATGGGGCTGATTTTTGCTCTGCGGGGAGTGGGAAAGAAACAATAATAGGATTCTTAAAAGAGCCAGAGCTAGCAAATTTTCAATTGATTCTTTTGTTCTCCGAGGATTGTTAAAAGACAAGGAAATGCCTGATTATGGTGACACATTACAGTTTAGATATCAAAGCAGACACAAGAGATGTGCTCACTGGTGATAGGAAGCTGGAGGAGCACATTTGTTTTATTTAGGAGTGAATGAGGCTTCTTAATCAAATCAGCAAGACAAAAAAGTGGCTCAGATCAAGAGACGGATACCACTACGTGGCTTACACACAGAATTAGAGCCACACCGGGCAAGAAAGCAGGCCCAGGTGGCTTCCCCAAGTCCAGGGAAACACATACCTTTTATCAGGCCATCTGCATCCCAAACCATTTCTATAGCATTAACCTCTATAGCCCAAGTTTCACCAAGTTTCCCTCATTTTCAAGATTACAGCCCAAGATCAGACTTTTTTTTCCAAAACAGGATATTACAAGAAACCAATTGTGGTTATGAAAAATGCTCTTAGACCTAAAACAATGTGTGTAGGTGTGTGTATGTGACAAAATCCTTCCTCCTGGGCCATAAAGAACATGAAATGCTATTGCAGTTTAAAAATATTAATGAGGGAAACTGCCTGGAGGGCAGATTTTTCCTATAGACCTTCAAGGATTTGAAGTGAATAACAAGAAATAAACTAAGTATGCATCCACACAACCCTTAAACCTGTGCCAAAGTGGGTTAAATTAATGCTGGCATAACTGAGAGCTCACGCTTATTTGGTGCAGGGGAGGGGCTTTGGATTCAGCAGTACAGCACATGCTCTGCATATAGAAAGTTTCAGGTTCAGTCTCCAGCATCTTCTGTAAGGCTATCATTATATATATATATATATATATATATATATATATATATATATATATAATCAGTCACTTTGGCCATTTTGCCTGGAAACCTGGAGTACCTCCAGCCACACAGGAATAATGGAACAAGGCAATGAGATGGAGTGGGTGGAGTGGCTGTCACAAGAGTTGGGAAAGGAGAATAGGGAAAGTAAAATTGTTGTTATTTAAATACATTGATGATTAGGATTATTAGCTATTATCACCGCATATATAGTAAGAGTATTTACAATGGGAGCTGTCATAGCTATCAGTGCTTTGAAGTAGCCTATTGGTGAATTTGTCCTCTTTACTGCTTTTGTAGGATAGACCATTACATGAAAACCAGAGTCTGTGCATGGAGATAGCTATCCCTGAGTAATTCTGCTCAGATAATCTATCTGTGCCTTATTTGCAAGTAATAGATTGTTGGTGGGTCTGCATCCAGACACTTTAGTTCATATTAGAAGTTTATATATGGTGGGCAAGAAGACACAAATATACCACCCCAGAGGTGTACGAGACTTAAATGCTTTGAAAGCAAATAGGATTCATTTTTTTAAAAAAAATACATACAAATATATTCTACTAGCTTGCTTGCAAGAATAAAAATGAAGGCACATACATTCATTGAACAATTGCATTAACAAAAAGAAATAGCAATTGACAGTATTGTGCTCTCACTATAATATTTGGTTATATTTACATTTTTAGCATCTTATAAGGAAAAATCTTTTTCACCGGCTTGCATAAATCAAGACCATCTCCACTACTGCTGTGCATCAATATACCCCATAATGAAGCCTGTGCAAAGCCTAAGCAATTTAAAGTAAAGAAGTTCTGCTAAAGATTAAACTAAGCAGACTTGAAAAATATCATTTGGTTGGGCAAATATAAAGCATTTGGCTTTCTCTGAATTTATGATGCTTAAGCATTATTCCATTTACATTAGAGTCTCAGCCTGCAATGACTGTTAAGGGAAGCAAAAAGATGTGGAAAAACGACATTTGCGGGGTGCTTTTGGAGACAGAAACTGGCCTATTGATGTTAATGGCCTTTTTTGCAATTTTTAGTTTGCAAGAAGAGAAGCAAGGTGAAGAGTGACACACAAAGATTAGGAAGCAGCAGGAAGCGTCTTTTAAAAGGATAAAAATGGGCATTTTTGCATTCACCAGCACTTACCTCCTGCTCACGTTGAAATATTACAACGCGACCCCCCTTGTCCCCTGTCGCTAGTAATTCTCCTGTGTGGTTGAATTCTACTGTAGAGATAATGTCAGCTGAAAAGAAAAAGACAAAGGCAATTTAAGTTAACTGCAGAGTGGCTTTGCGCTAGCATCTAAAGGCCTCATTGCTTATATGGTTACAGGAACAACTACTGTCAAAGCTTTGCCTCCCCGGTGGAATTTCTACAGAGCACTTAGATTTTCTATTGTACTTGAATATCATTAAGGGAATTCATAGGCATCGTTAGCAAAAAAAAAAAAGTCAAGATTTAAAACTCTATACAAGCACTTTTTTGAATAGTTGAACATGGTGATCTTTTTTTGCCACTAGCATAAGCCTTTGCAATATTAACATCGGCTGGGAGGCAGGACTTGTGCGAGGAGAGCACTTTCCATGACACCAGGCAGCACTTAACAGCTAGCACTTTAATGCTAGTCAATAAGATTCACTTTTCATATCCTCATGGAATTTATAGGAAGAGTAGCTTTGCTACAGGGGATGGAGAATTCCTTGGCTGAAATAGTCTATTTTTCTTTAAAAAATAAATCGATTGAATACTAGAAAGCATGAGGGAGCAGCTGCAAAATACCATTATTTTTATAGATAGATGATGATAGATAGATGATAGATAGATAGATAGATAGATAGATAGATAGATAGATAGATAGATGATAGATAGATATGAAATAAAAGACCACCAAACAGCAGTGTACCACAGACAATGAAGGAGCAACCCTGCTGATGTTCTGCACTTTTCTGCTTGCTCCTGTAACCAAAAGTAGTATTTGGAAAAGCCCAGGGAAGCCTCATATGCACTATCCAGCACAGTGCCAGTGACATGTATAACTATGTTCTATGCTGCATACACAGTCATAGTCAACATATGAGCTGGAGGACAAGCTCATGTTTCAAGCATTTTTAGATCACTGACAGGATACAACATCGCTGCAGCAAATATATGATCTAAAAGAAAGATATCCACATCTAAACAAACCCTGAAAAATACTGTGCTAGTTTAGGAAGACATTATTCCTCCTCCAGCAATCATCAGTTCCACTTCAAAGTTCTGAAGCATGAAGCAAGATGGAATACTGTGCTGATTTAACTGTGGATCCTATTTGGGTTCTCAGGATGCAGCAACAGGTAAATGCAGCCGTAGAGATCAATCAATATCCTCTACTGCTTTGCACTTCACCACCATGCTACTGGAATGTATCCTAAAATTCATGCTATAAAATCAACATATGCAAAACCACAAAAGGTGGACATAATCATGTAATCTTTTAATACAAAGGAACGTTAACAAAAACAGCATAGAGATTACTATATTATTTTTCCTCATTTCAACAGTAAACAAATAATATTTTTAGTCATTCTGCAAGAGATCTATTTTGGTCTCTTACTTCCTGATGAAGAGGGCATAAGGTATCAGCAAAGGGAATAGAAGACTGGCTGAGAGACATAAGGACTGTTGTTGTAGAGATATTAGATTGATTGTCTGTTTGGCTTTACAGTCATGGAATCATGCTTCAGAGAAAGTAACTATTAGATAATAAAAAGAGAGTTACACACATAATGTTCTTCCTTCCCTCCACGACCACTACTCCTATGCCTTCAACTCCAATCCAGAAGAAGTCTGGAGTGATTACGGTGTTTTGGAAGTGTGGACTGCTGGATTGAGCTGAATTCTGGTTGAGACAGTGTCCACAAGTGTGTCACTGGTCTTGGAGAGGCTTCTGGGTGATGTTGCTTCTGGTGCAACCATGTGTGGTGCCCAGCTATGAGATCAGCACAAGCAACATTGCCAGCAAATCTCTGCGAAGAAGCTGATTGTGGCCACACCAAAACACCCTTGGCCCAGCCATTGCCTGGCTACCAAAATGGCTCCAGAGCTGTTTACCATCCAGGTTGTGGATATGTGTAAATCCAGTCTAAGAGCAGATTTATTATTCCACTAACAAGGGATCCACCTGATGACAATGGGTGGGAATTAAAAGATGGCAGTGAATAGAGGTACTTAGGACCCAGTATCAATTCCAGGAAAGGGGCCTGAATTGAAAAAACACTGTGGGAAAAGAGAAGGCTGGAGAGGTAAGAAAAAAAAGTGAAATGGAAAAGAAGCATGTATGTGATTCCAGCAGGAAAAGGAGGGAGATCTGAAGTCAGTCCTGACACAGCAAATTTCTACCACACTTCTGAAAGAGATGCTGAGAAATTCAAACAGGTTTACTCAGAAACAGAATCCAATTGAGTTCAATAGATTTGCTTCTAAGAGTGACACCCAAAATGCCCACAAGGCCCCAGTCTTGTAGTCCGTATAAATATGCTTTAAAAGCATTTTAACCGTGACAGTTCCAAGACTGCTATTCTGTTTTGATCATTCATTCCTCAATCTACTTTTGTAGTGCAACTGATTATTAGTCTATATTATTAATAATAATTCATCAGTCAAAAAGAAACTGTATTTATTGGCATAAAACTATATTTGAGAAGGAAATAGTTAACTTCCAAAAGCTTGGCTTTCAATAAGTGAGGTAAAGAGGTATTTATACTGCATCCAGGTAAGTAGATAGCCTGCTGAGGAGTGAATTTTTCAAAGCTATTCTTGGAAAAAATGTCAGAGGTTAATTCCTTTGCAATTATTCCCTCCTTGTCTTCAGCAATTGCATCTCAGTGCAGTTTTCAGTGAAGGCAAAGCAGGAACAGGAAAGAAAATGGCTTCCAGAACAGCAATACCACTAGCAAAGGGCTTCTTATTGTTTAGAAAATGGAAGTGTTTACATATTTTAGCTTTTTGGCATCCATAGCCATTATCTAAGAGAATAGGTTTTATGGTGTTATAATTTGCTTTCAGTCTATGACTGCTCGAGCTTTCTGTCTATTCATAAGATTTTGGTATTGTCATTAAAAAGAATGAAGGAGTGTAAGGAATGATTTTGTCCATTTTTGCTGAAAACTGGGGCAAATGCTGAATGACTGGACACAACTGAAGAGAAGAGCCATTTAGGAAGGTAGAACAGAAACCAAAACCAGACACACTCAATAGTTTTTTGCTCTGAAAAAAAATAATCTCATGCCACATAAGCCATGCAACATAATTACAAATGTTCATTGTTTTTCTGCAGTTTAAGCCCAATACATTTTCATGCAAAAAGAGATTGAAAGAGAACAGAACTGCTTGCTGTAACCAATATGGCAGTCTCAGCCATCAGCATTTTGTTGCAGAGTACAAGTAGATGTTACAAGATACACGAAACCATTACCACTCCATGTCACTTTCCTTCCCACTCCCCCTCAAGATATTTTCAGATGGATGGCTCCTCATGCTAGCAGTTGAAAGACATAGTGCAGCTATTCCTTTCCTTCTAAACTGATATTTCACAGTAAGAAAAGGAAAGATGGAAGCATGTGTAGAAAAGCTGGGGAAAGTTATAAGCAGAGGAGGATAACATCTGAAAACCCCATAAAAGACAATACACAAGGCAGGACAACATTGAGATAACCGCTGGTAAGACTTTTTATAGCACAGTACGAAACTACTCTCAATAACGACTAGCAGTATAACACAATGTGACACATAACCATCATTGCCTTATAACCACCACTGCCTCATAATTTGGGAATTCAATTTTGGGTAAAGCCCATTTATGCAAGCCTAGCAAAGATGCTTCCTGTATTAAAAAGAAAATATATGGAGCAAAGGGAGATCTCCATGTGCTTCAGAATGACTTCTGAGTTGACATTTGGAAGCAAAAACATGGGAGACAGTATTGAGCCCCGAGGAACCCCACAAACCAAAGGTTGTGGAGTTGAACAGGTGTCCTCCAGTAACACCTTTTGAGACCGGCCCTCTAGGAATGACCGGAGCCACTGCAAAACAGTACCTCCAAGACCCATCCCCGCGAGGCGTCCCAGAAGGATACCGTGGTCGACGGTATCGAAGGCCGCTGAGAGGTCCAGCAGCACCAACAGGGACACACTCCCCCTGTCGAGCTCCCGGCACAGATCATCCACTAAGGCGACCAAGGCTGTCTCGGTACCATGTCCCGGCCTAAAGCCAGACTGTGCCGGGTCCAGATAATCCGTGTCTACCAAGAATACCTGGAGTTGTGAGGCCACCACACGTTCCAGGACTTTGCCCAAAAAGGGGAGATTGGAAACAGGCCGATAGTTGACGAATTGAGTGGGGTCCAGTGATGGTTTTTTCAACAGCGGTTTTATTACAGCTTGTTTTAAGCTGGCTGGAATTTTGCCTTCCCGAAGGGAGGCATTAACCACCACCTTCACCCACTCGGCCAATCCCCCTCTGGCCTCCTTTAGAAGCCAGGATGGGCAGGGGTCTAGGATGCATGTGGTTGCCCTCATTCCTCCAAGTATCTTGTCCACATCCTCGGGTTCACCAATTGAAATGAATCCATCAAAATTGGACAAGCAGGTGCTCGTGTTACATCCTCAGAGACTGCCGTTAATATGGTATCCAGGCCAGAGCGGATCAAAGCGACTTTGTCTGCAAAGAACTGAGCAAAGGCTTCACAGCGAGCTGCCGAGTCACCAGGGCTCCCATCCTGAATGGTGGGTTTTAAAAGGCCTCTGACAACTCGGAACAGTTCAGCCGGACGGTTCTTTGCAGACGCAATAGTGGCCGCAAAGAAAGTCTTCTTTGCGGCTTTTATTGCCGCGGCATATGCCCTTAAAAAGGACACAAACCGTGTTCGGTTTGGCTCGCTCGGATCCGAACGCCACACGCTCTCTAGTTCCCTCTTCTTTCGCTTCAACACCGCCAGCTCCTCAGTGAACCAAGGGGCTGGTTTAGTTCGGCTACTTGAGAGGGGACGTTCTGGAGCGATCGTGTCTATTGCCCTAGTCATCTCCCCATTCCAGAGAGCGACCAGGGCATCAACAGGATCACCAAGGTGGCGGGAAACTCCCCAAGAGCCATCAGGAATCCATCAGGATCCATAAGCCTCCTGGGGCGGACCAACTTAATGGGTCCTCCACCTCTGCAGAGGTTAGGGGGTGCAGTGAGTCTAAAACTGACCAGGTGGTGGTCGGT